TGTGAAGTCACTTTTGTTACCACATACTCTCCGAAAACACGAGCGTCTGGCGCCGATTGATACCGGTCCCTGGTTTCTATCCCGTCTATAGCATGCAGCATTTCACTCTCGCTCAGTGATAGAATAGGTGAGCAAAGCGAGACCTAGAGCTGGAATCTCCTGCGATTTTTTTTCCTTTGTAGGCGTGTAGTCTGGCATATAAACGCCTAGTTTTCCGAGTTGTTAAAGCTCATGGTATGGCTGTTCAGGTTATATTAATCTAACGTTATTAGACTCTTTTTGCTACCAAACCGATGATATTTATCGAATAAACTCTTACCGAATTATCACAAAGCTGATACCCGATTCCGTACTTATCAGAGTAGTCCACCCATTTGCTGATCCAGAATATGGGCATTGCCTCAGGCGCTTCATCTTCTACCCGTAATTCTCGCTAAAACGTTTGGTTATTATACCATGGCCTATTTCTTGTATTTTGGGCTATATCTCTTACGTCCGCAACACGAGCGTTACAAAGTGAAGCAATCTGTTCGTATAACTCAGACAGGTAACCGTCTTCTGGTACTTTGGCAACACCAAGCCCTAAAACACGCTGATTGGATATCGGAACTAGAGCGTGCCAAATATTTTACCAACCTCTGTCGATACGTTCCCCATCCAAGGCTTTGTTCTCGGGAACAGCATTCAAGGCGCGGGCGTGGCCACTCATGAGATCTTGTCTAGAATCACTTACAACATATTTGCAACCAACATCTTTCGTAGTAACTTGACATACTTCACCAACTGTTTAGGACTAAGCACACCAGCAGGTACTCCGCGCTTGTCAGTGGTAGCAGGAAGACCAACCTGATAATGGTAACCAGTAGAGAATTAAATTGTTGAAATTCAAACTGATCACCAACCTCGCTGTGACGATTGAACTTAGGTGCCATTGTAAGGCAGGAAATTGGAAGCCGAGTTGGCATATAACCAGAACGGAAAAATTCATGGGCCAGTATCTGTAGAAACGTTCATTAAAGAATATATCGGACTGAAAAACAGACACAAAAGTGGAAGATGCAAAAGTCTAGCTTTCCCTCATCCAAAAATTGCACGTTTACTCATTTTCGTTTGGTAACACACACAGGAGGAGCATACCTGTTTCACCGTGGGCCGTTTCGCAGGATCGGCCGCTAAGAGGTTTTGGATGAGATGGCTGACGATCTGTCCCGCATTCGATGGAACGCGATACTGATTCATTTTTATACGGCTGTAAGTCTCCTGAACGAAAGAAATCAATCCACCCTCATCTTCAGACGCTCACTGCATAGCGACACTCTTCTGTGCTGGCCCAGAGTGTGCTATGTCATCTACGTAATAACACATTTGCACCGATCTACCCATAAATTAGCGATTCCACTGAACATTTTGTCACTCCGAACATATATGTGAATTAACCCAAATGAAAAAAAAACTGAGATCAAGATCTATTTTGCAGAACAGGGCCCGGTTTGCCCCTACCTCATGAAGTGTGACCTTACTGAGCACCGGTGAAATCTGATCAAAAAAAAACTTGTAGGCTCGCAAAGTTTAGGCCCCGAGTGTGGGACATTTCATGAAAGAAAGCGCATAAGTTGGGCCAACATTAACCGCACTATACATTTGGCACTGTCTATCCTCCACTACCATTTATTTTGAAACTCATGCCAGATTTTGATATTCGCCGTTGTAGCTGAAATCGACTTTAGGTCGCGGGGATCACTAGAGATGATGAATCCGAATATCACCGCTTCGTGAAAATGCCTTGACGCTCGTATTATGGCAAGTTCAGCCAAGGCGCCAAAATGCCGACTGCCATAACAACAGTTTGCCCCAAAACAAGACTGTTACATCGATAAAGCTCTCGCACCAAGCATTTTGGCTCCAAGCGGAATTAATCGCCGTACAGAGGAGCGAAATGACTTTAATTCGAGAAATACAACTTTTTTATCGCATTAATCTATCCCCCTCCCCGACAAAAACTCGGATCGGAATGTTTCCATTTTTTTCAGACGGAGCAAAAGAAATATATAGATGAGTTTTGACAAAGATCTTGGAATGATTCGGACCGTTAATAACGCTCAACAAAAGACGTAACCTTTCGTTTCAATCATTGCAGTCACAGGAAAAGAAAGCGCCTATAGTTCTAATTTCGGAAGTTTAGTCGGATAGCCTTATTAATTATCGAATTATTATGTGGGACTCACCTTCAGTGATTTCGTTTCGAATGGAGGACGCCCAAAGAGCAACGTATACAAAATGCAACCAATCGCCCATACATCTACTTCAAACGAGTGACCTTTTTTATCAAGCACTTCGGCTAAAAAATTTTACCGCATGTATGGAAAACTCAATTGTAAAAATGCTGCTTATCTCAGACTTACGAGCTATATAGTTTGGAGTACCACATAACGTTTTCTTGCGTTCACCTTCCATATCTACAGTAGTTGCAAGACCAAAATCACCTATTTTAACCTGTAAAATATTTTATCACTACATCAGCTTATTTTCCTCCTCATCTTCGGGACAGAAATAAAAGCAGTTGCAGAAAGGGATGTGATAGTTTTCAGACCTGGAGTTCGCCATTGAGGAAAAGGTTTCCTAGCTTCAAGTCACGGTGAATCACCTTCTTATCATGGAGGTAGTCCACGGCTAAGCACACCTGAAAGGACAAGCGATTTCCTAGGGAATTTGCTACTGTCGAAATAAGAGGATCCTCAAGAAATTCCCACCTGGTGTGTGAAATAACGTGCTTCTGGTTCGGTGACTGATCTTCGCCGTTTATGCAATTCCATCAGTGATCTGCGAGGGCATAATTCCAATGTAATATAAACGTTATCACTGTCCTCGAAAAAACTATACAACTGCACCACATGTGGATGACTTAAGTTACGATGGATTTGCACTTCTTGAGTCATCTGTAAAGAGGAATAATTATATTGAAAGTGAAGACTGCTGATCTGAAAAAGGACCCACCTTTTCACGCTGATACGGCTTGACAAGTAATGTCTTTGAGACAATCTTGCCAGCAAACACTTCATTCGTGGAAGCATTGGTGAGTTCATAACATCTAGCAAAGCCTCCTTTGCCAAGAAATTTCCCTCTGATATAAGTGATGCCACGTTCTTTATCGATTATCCGTTCCGGGACTTCTTTCAATGGAGCTTTGTCCATTCTATGCACTTCTTTTCTCTGAAAAGAAAAACCAGTTCTACGAAACCACAAAATCTAATCCAATGCACTGGTCAATTTGGTACAATCGAGAAAAAAAATTCGATTTCGGAGCTCGGAAATGGAAAAAGAGAAGCGCATGTAGTGTGGGCTGAGTGAGTTAGTGAGGCAATAGATGAGGGGAGGGCAATTCTTTGTAGTACCTTCCTACCTTAATTCAACTTCAGTTCCCCTGTGGAAAGAAACACTTGCTCATGTTTGCGGAGAAAAAGCACGTTCCATCTGGGGTGGGCGTCCAGTCTACAGTGTGCAAGCGTAGTGTAGTGAGGACTTCGCGCAAGAATCGCGGAAAAGCTGCAAGCTTCGCGGAAAAAAATCGCTTTGCGAGAGACTGTGGATGAAGATGTGGTTCAAAACCAGAGCACGTGCTGCTGTTGGAGGAAATTCTGAGGAACACGACCCCTCTCCCCCCCTCCATCTCCACTCTGGTAGGACTACTCTTCCCATCTTCCATTCTACCTCCTGACTATCTCCCTAAAATTCTCAGAATTTTCAATTTTCCGAACTTTCCAACGCTTTCGGAGTTCCTTTTGAAAGACCACTCACTTTTTCGACAAAAAAGTGATGGTGAAAGGGTCTAGGTGCGGGGGGGGGACGAAGTTGAGGGTACATAGCGCATTCAACCAGAAAAACCTCGATAAGTCAAGCAAACGAAAACGTTTTCCTCAGAAGCAATAACGACCTCTCTTCCTCCACTCTGATCAAATAGGACCTCCCTCCACTGGGCACCACCAATGTACGACCCGCCCTGGTCAAAGTGGAGATAGAAATTGAATCTTGCTCCATAGGAATCGAGAGCAGACACCTCTCAGTAACTGCTCAACGGCATTCGTTCGGCCCTGCTAAATGTTCAGCCTTCACAGGTTAAAAAAGTAGGCTTTCTCACGCCGGGCAGACACATTCGACCAAGTGGTACTAATTTACCAGAAAACGATAATGCGATATTCTAGGCAACACGGTGGAAAATTCTCCGATTCTTTTTCTATAGTAAGCGTTCAAATTGACAGAGGTCACCTCACGGAATGGTTCCGAATCTTTAAGCAGATCCAAACCGTTATTTCGTATTAATTGAGACGAACTACATCTATACTACAGCCAATAATGGAGCACTTTAGAGGCAATCAGGATTTTGTTTGAAAGGGGTCATCTGAAGGGTCAGCCTCGGAAGAACACCCATCCAAATTCATAATATGAACATAATCATTAATAAAACGGCTCATCTGAGCATCACAATAGTTTTATGGATAGAAATGACAAGAAAGGAAGAGATGCACACAGCAGAAT